AACATTGTCCTTATTCTGTGATAAACCTGAGGATCAGCTTCCTCTGCTCCAGTGCCTGCCTTTATCTGCTCTTGGCATCTGAGGAGCGCTGGGAAAGTCCCAGCCTTGGATTTTAGGGATTTTAGTTGTTATGGTTTTCACCAAGGACAGAGCCTGACCACAGAGAGTGTGGGGCAGGGAGAAGTGTATTTTGTGTGCTTTGAGATGCCTCAATCCGACCCAGAATACGGAGCAAGGAAGGGAAACCTGCAGCTGGTAGCCAGGACACTCAGGGATACTGTATAAATTATAAATATATGGATAATATATTTATTATTTATAAATCTATCTATATATATAAAATATATTTATAAATAATGATTATTCTATATGTAATATAGAATATATAAATATGTATTTATAAATAATATGAATTATACATATAAATATATGGAAAATCTATTTATTATTTTTAATATATATAAATAGATAAAACAGATTTATAAATAGTAGTTATATATGTAAAATATATATTATGTATAAATATATATTTATAAATAATATAAATTATAAATACATGTATAATCTATTTTTAATAAATATATATAGAAATAAAAATAGATTTGTAAATAATATAAAATATAAATAATATATGTTAAAAATTAAATAATTACATATAAATCTATAAAAATGTTTAAAATAACAGAAAATATAAATAATAGTATAAAGAAATAGAATCATTTTATATAAATATGTAACAATTTATATAAAATAATATAAATTAGAAATAATATGTATAAATAAATTATGTATATAAATTTATATAAAATATTATAAAATATAAACAATAAGTATAAATAAATTAAAATAATGTAATTATTATTATGTAATAATTAAAATAAATAATGTAAAATCATTCCAATAGGCATGGAGGGGTGCAATGTGTTTCCTGACGTGAGCTCCAATGGCACCGATTTCCATCCCTTTGATGGACCCAAGCTGAGTCTTAGCAGCTTTTTATCCTGGCGTGTGGAACATCCCTTGAAGCTGGTTTAAGAGCCAGCAGGTGCCCACCCCACAAATCAGCCCTGCCAAGACGCCTGGCAGGCACTGGGAGCAGTCCTGGAGGCTGCCCAGGCTCCTCCTGCAGGATTACACCTGGGAGTAAATCTCTGGTAGCAGTGGAGAAGCATTTCCTCCCCGGGGAGGGAGGGTTTTGGATGGAGCAAACCCAGCACTGATCCTCACCCGCCGTGTCTTGCTGGAGAAGCCACTTCCATATTTTCTTCTTGCTTGCTTACTCCTGTGGTGCTAAAATGAATCAGGATTCAGGGTATCAGTCCTCTTGTCTGTCAGTGCTCAGAAAACTAATTGTCTAAATGAAGTTGTTACGGTTTTTTTTCCCAAAGGCACTCGGGTGTTTTACCAGGTCTGTGTTCCTTTGGTCAATTAGATTTTTTCCCAAAGGCACTCAGGTGTTTTACCAGGTCTGAGTTCCTTTGGTCACTCAGATTTTTCCCAAAGGCACTCAGGTGTTTTACCAGGTCTGAGTTCCTTTGGTCACTCAGATTCCCTCCAGCCAGCTCTGGTTCCCTGCAGGTCACTGGATCTTTGGAGAATTCTTTAGTGTTTGGTTTCTCTGCACCATGATTTTTAGAAGGTTTTTAAACCAATGAATCCTGCTTAAAGTACTTCCAGATGTGATTTCTCATCAAGATCCAGCTGACCATGGTTTGTTATCCCTTGTGCAGAGGATGAGCTTGGGTAGGAAAATGTTTCCCCAGGTGACTCTGGGCACAGTGCTGAGGCTGGCATTGCTCTTCCACGGGGTTTGATGTATTGTGAGTGAAATAATCTTGGAAAGATCCAGAAGGTTGTTGGTGATTTCTTTCCAGTGCAAAGGGTGGAGCTGCTGCCTGTGAGGTACAGAGGGTTGGAAGGCAGGAGGGATCCAGCTCTCCACTGCCTTCCCAGGAGCAGGAGGGATGGCTGGGAGGGCACCACCCTTCAACAAAGCATTTTTCATGCTGAGGATCATTTTCAGCCATTGCTGCTGATTCTCACTACTGCAGATGAGTAAGGGAAGAATTTCCTTTGAGCAAGGGAAAAAATTTCAGGAATCATTTCCCCATGGAAAGGGTGCTCAGGCCTTGGCAGGGGCTGCCCAGGGAGGTTTGGAGTGCCCATCCCTGAGGTGCCCAGGAAATTCCTGGAGGTGGCACTCAGTGCTCTGAGCTGGGGACAAGGTTGGGCACAGCTTGGACTCGACAATACAGGAGGGCTTTTCCAGCCTTAGAGATTCTGGGATTCTGTGAAGGGAGTAGGGACAAAAGGGATTTTCTAGTCCACCTCAGATTGCAGCTTTTAACCTCATTAGTGTCCCAGCAAGCCCTGCTCTTGCATTTCTCCACAGCCCTGTCATGTTCTGCACTATGCAAAAACAGTTTTAGGAAGAGATTTACATGATGACTTCAGTGGGATGGAAAAACCTTCCCGGGGCAGATGTTCCCATCCTCACTGCTGCTTTTTCTCATGCACATGTTGAATCCTGCAGTCAATGAATGCCTTTGGTTTTCAGAGCTGCCAGGGGAACTGAACCATCTGTTCTGTGCTTGCCTTCCCAGCACCAGGTGTGAGCAGAGAAGTGTTTGACCACCAGCCCAGGCCTGCCCAGTGGAAAGACAAAGGTCTGAAGACTCTTCACCCCCTTCCCAGCCCGCTGACAGGATGGTGCAGGGCTCCTGGGAGGAGTTTCCCATTGTGGGAATTGGTTTCCTCAACAATTTTGGATAGACAAGAGGTAATTGTGGCTGGAGAAAGGTGCTTTGCCTGTGCAGGATTATTTTGGGAGTAAATAAAGGCTGGTGGTGCCCATCCATGGCCTGGGATGTGGGAAATGGGAGCTCCTGAGCTGTTTGCTCCTCTGCAGAAGGAAGGAGGGGGGGACAACAACTCCAGTTTTGCTAAATAAGGGTAAGGAATTGGTGAGATATTGGTCTGATGGACAGACAGGGCAGGACTCTCCTTAAGATCCTGCAGGTTTGCAGGGGAGCTTTGTTGGAGCAGGTGGGGTGGGAGGTGTGGGCACCACATCCTGCCAAGTTGTTTCTTGGTGGCAAAAGAGGTGAAAATATCACAGGGCTTGTGTTGAAAGGACGAAGGTGTTGAGCAGAGGCTTCGTTTACAGGGAGAGGGAGAGAGCAGAGCACAGGCAAAGGTGTTGGAATTGTGGAGAGAGGGAGCAGCAGGGTGAGGAGCTGGTGGGGTGGCTCTTTCCATCCCCACAGAGCTTTGATCCCACTCTGTCAAAAGCCAAAAGCACAGCTGCTCTTAGGGAGATGCAGAAAAAAGCTAAAATCCTAAAATGCCTTCCAGAAAGAAATGCTAAAATCCTAAAGCTTTAGGACTGGAAAACTTGAAGGCAAGGCTCCCACATGGTTCCTGTTACAGCAGCAAACCAAAGCTGCTGGTAGTGTTTGAGTTGGTGAGAGTGAGGAACTTTATTGTTTCATGAGGTGAAAACTCGATTTTTTTTTTAAATGAAAGCTTTGTCCCTGCTGCAGAAGGGCTTGGCTGAGGCCTCAGTACAGGATTGGCTCAGTAGGATTCATCCCCCTGCAACTCCCAGTGCCTTAAACACTTCAGAAATAATAATCTTATCCAGAAATCTTGGTGCCTTGGCAAATGCCCCCCTGGGAATCCTCACTGATACTCGCTGGTCCATCCCAGTCACAGAGTGCTGGATGCTGAGGTTTCTGCTGTAAAGGGATGATGGTTACAGTGGAAAAGGAACATTCCCAAAGCACTTGCTGCTTGCAGGTTCCTGGGAGAAGCTGTGAAACAGCATAAGGAAAACAAACTGATTTGTAGCACTGACATTCCCCTTTCCCTGTAATTTTCCCCTCATTTAAGCAGAATTTCTATGGCACTGTGGAATTGTGTAACTGCTGGGTTTGGCCCATCATCTATTGATGACTTTTGTTTATTGATGACTATTGATAGCCCATCATCTATCTGTGACTTTGTTGGAGCTCCTTGAAACTTACAATATTCTGGAGCTTTTTATTAAATATAGACCACCTCATTTTGGGCTTGAAATAACCCTTTTCACAGTTTAAATGAGGGGAAACAACTCTCTTGCTGCCTTAATATTAAAAAAAGGGACGAGGAATAAAAGGGGTAAGAAAGAAAATAGCATAATTAAATCTCCTTAATAATTAAAAAAGGGGGAAGGTAAAAAGGATAATGCCATTGGCTGGAATGAATATCCCAGGTTGACATAATAATTTCAAATACCAAATTTAAAAAAATTGCACCTTCACTACTGGAAGGAAAGTCCAGGCTGCTGTGTTGTGTCTCACCCATCCAAATTCAATCTTTGGCATGCTGGGTGAATCCAGGCTCAGCCCTGGAGCTGCCTCTGTGTGTGCATGGAATCCCTGGGAGTCTCTGGCTGGCTGGGAAGCTGGAGAGGGGCGGGTTTAGTCTCTGACTTTGCTGTGTTGTGGTTCTGGCTTTAATTAAAACTGGTTTTCTTTCCAGGTCCTCTGTGCTGTGGCAATAACAGTGCCTGGGGTGTGGAATGGCCCCACTGCAGCATCCTTCCCCCCAAGAGAGGGGCTCCTGGAGCAGCTGATCCTCATGGAAGTGTCACCCTGACCTCCCTGTCCCTGCCTTCATCCCTCCCCAGGGCCTGTTTGTGTCTGAATAGAACGAGCTGAAATCTCTGGCACTGGGAGCTCCCTGGCTGCTCATCCCACGAGGTGAGTGAGTCAGCTCTGCTCTGGGAAGGACAGAGCTGAGGATTAAATCTGAGAGGCAGAAAAACCCAGCACTGTGAAACCCAGGCCATGGCCTGCATTTTTCCCATACACTTCACACTGTGCATTTCTCAGATGGCTTTAATCAGGACAAATATCCAGGTTTCCAAACTGAATGTGACATCCAAAAATTCCAGTTTTCAGCGTTGCTGCTGTTGATCCTTCCCAGTTCAGATGTGATCAAAGCCCAGCCTTTAAACTTCAGCTCGTGTTCAAAGTGGCTTTTTTTAGCTTCCATTTTTGGGCTGCGGGCTCGAAGAAGAAGGAGATAGGTGAGATGAGAGCACAGGCTCCAGCAAAGAGGAAGGAGCAGACGTAGGTCTGGGTGTAGTCATAGAGCCACCCTGCAGGAGAGAAGGTTGTTATTAAAGCAGTGGGATTTTTCTCAGTGAAAAAAAAATCATTTGAGGAGGTGGGCGGGAGGCAAAGGGTGTGTGTTCTAAGAATTGCTCAGATATTTTCCTTAAATTATTTTAACTCTTCCTGGGCAGCATTTCCTGTGAGGAAATGACATGCAGGTCATTTTTCCCAGAGCCAGCTTTGATCATTGTAGTGGACATGGTGTTTAATTTGATTGAATTTAATCCCTGATTTTTTTTTTTTTCCTGTTTTAAGTAAGTGGGCCAAAAGTAGCTGATGGAAGATCCCGTTGGATTGAAGGAATCACTTGCACATGTTGGTATTTGCAACATCTGGGCTGCAAACCCCCTTCTCCAGCCTTGTCTCCTTGTGAGCAGACCCAGCTTAATGTCCTTTGTCCAATAGGAGAGACACCAGGCCAGGATCTGGAAGTGAACTTGATGAAAGTGGCTCTGGGAGGACTTAAAAGGAAAAGCTGAATTCCATCGAGCCACAGGAATGTCTGGAGGATTCAGGTCACCTTTTAAAGTGACCTCCAAGTGTTGGAGGGGTTTGGTCCTGGCAAATCATCCAGGCTCTGGGCAGTCCTTTGAAAGGTGGAGAGTTCCTCTCTTTGAATCTAAAATCTGCAAAGCGGTGGGAGATGCTGCTGCACATAAAAACCCTAATCCAGTCCCAAATGTGGGTGTGGGGCAGCAGCTGAGCCAGATCTGCTGCTGGTGTGAAATGCAATTCCTCTGGAGACATCCATGGAATGCACACATCCATGGGCTTCCCTGGTTTACACCACCAGCAGATCTGGCCCAAGCCTGGGGTTCTTGAACCCAGGAAGGGACATGACACAGTCCCTGAGCTCCTGGACTCAGGCACTGGGAAAGGGAGATCCAGTAAAATTTGGGATCTGTGCTGGAGCAGAGGCACCGACATTCCCCCGCTGTAGATTTCCACAGGAAGGTTTTATAAAGCACAGGAAAAGCTGCTCGTGCCCAGTTTCAGTTTCTGTTGGCTCCCTCCTGTCCCAGGGGGTGTCCCTGTGTTTGCTCCTCAGGGATTCCTGTGGGCCACGTGCTGGAGAAGCTGCAGCTGGAAAGGAGGATCCATCCTCTGGTGGGATCCATCCCGTGGTGAGATCCATCCCGTGGTGGGATCCATCCCCTGGTGGGATCCTGCCCATGGTGGGATCCAGGATCCATCCCCTGGTGGGATCCAGGATCCAGCCCCTGGTGGGATCCAGGATCCAGCCCCTGGTGGGATCCAGCCCCTGGTGGGATCCATCCTGTGCTGCTGCACTGGGACACTCTCCCATGACCCTGAGGTTCTTGTGGAGTGGTTCATTCCCAGGGGTGGGATCTGGTTTCACTGCCTGGAAGTCTCTGGGATTTGGAGAGAGGATGCTGACGTAGTTATTTGTGAGAGGAACAGGACAGAGTGCTCCAGTTGAGCTCTGATTTATTGCAATTCTTCTTAAAATATCCTTCAGGATATTTCTTAATTTTTTTTTTTCATTTTCCTCGGTTTTTTTGGTGCTGAATGGGATTTAGGTGCAGTGGGATTTACCAGCATTGCCTCATTGGCAGCACAGCCATCAACTTTCATCACACCCCAACCTTTTGGAGCAACTCCAGTCTCTGTGCTTCCAATTCATTTCCAAAACAGTAATCACTCCTGCTGCAGAAAGCTGAACTAGGAGCTTGTGGTGTTCAAACCCCAGCAAAGCAGCAGTTCTGTGAGGAATGCTGGTAAATCCCAGCAATGTAATCCAAACTAAACATTCCCAGCACTGCTGGTGCTACCAGCTGGGTCAGGCTGTTTAAATGGTACTGCTGATTTTTAATCAGAAGTTTTATTTATTTCTGATGCCCTGAGGAGCAAAATTCAGTGGGAAGGTAAAGGTAAAATTTAGAAAACATCTAAATACTTGTGCCAGCAGAGCTTTTGGGTGACTTTGACCACTCTCTCCCCTTTGACCACCCAAATTTCTTGGGACTGGAGATCGTGCTCTGGGGGCTGGAATCTCTTCTAGAATTTGTTTTACGTGCTTTGGTTCAGCTCTTTTGCATTTTGAGTCAGTGATTTGTACTGCTTGTGGAAATAAACTCTGCCCTTCTCTCCTCAGCTTGCTCGTGGCTGCCAAAATAATGTTTATTCTGGTTTGGGCTGGGTTTTTTCAGTGTGGCAGCATCCAGAGGTGCCAGTGGATGGGGAGCTGTGATGGAGACTCCAAACTTTCCCTTTGGGTCCTGCCAGCTGCCCCTGGATTTCAGGGCTTTCAGCTGAACAGATTTGCAGGTAAGTCACCTTTTCCTTGCATTAGGGTTTGGTCTGATATGCAAATTAGGCAGTTTTAACCTTTGCAGTTCTCATTATCTGTTATCGTTATTTCCGCTGCATAAAAGCACTTGAGTTTGATGAAATTGTAGTTGTAAACTCAAGGTTTTTGGGAGGTGAGAGCACCAGGGTCTCTCAGAGCACTTAAATCCTGCTGTCTGCAAGGAGCAGATGGTTTTGGACACTTCATCAGGAGATTTTGGTCTCGCTCAGTTTTCACACTTAAAACTCCATTGCAAGAGAGATTTGCAGAATTTATCTTGGGCCCCAAGGCTGGATCCTGAGCTCTGGATTGTTTCCATTTTGCTCTGCTGGATCAGGAGTTGGATCAGGAATTGTTTTGCTTCTTGGCTTTATTTTGGCCTTCATTTATCCCACCTGCATTAAACCTGATTTCTGTGGAAAGCTTTTTGCAGGAAACCTGCTTGCTTTACAAACCCACCGCAGAAAGCAAAAGGCTTCCCATTAGTGCAGATCTATTGCAGGTGGATGGAACTTGAACTGCAGTGTGAGTGTGGATGAGACAGCCCAGCTGCTGAGCTGCTGCTGGATGTTCCTGTGGCAGGGGCTTCAGGGGACTGAGGGGTTGCTGTGTGCTCAGTGTTCACCTTGTGCCAGCAGCAGGATCTGCAATCCAGGCTCTGCATCACCCTGGCACTGGGAAGCTCGTTGTCAATGAAATGTTTTGGCTCCTTGAAATTGCATCTACAGACAGAAAGAACATCACCAGCCCAGGGATATTGATTGGGAATATAAATTAATTCCCTGTGCTGGTGGAACAGCAGCATTGCTGAAACTTTGCATGGAGCTGGAATTTACAGAATCCTTAGCAGCTTCCAGCCAGGCGCCTCTGCAGGCCGGGAGCAGCTGATTTGGAGGGCAGGGAACAAAAAATGATGATTTGGATTGGAAAGGATCCTAAAGCTGCTCCCATTCCATCCCCTGCCATAGGCAGGGACACCTTCCACTGTCCCAGGCTGCTCCCAGCCCTGTCCAGCCTGGCCTTGGACACTCCCAGGGATCCAGGGGCAGCCACAGCTTCTCTGGGCATGCTGTGCCAGGGCCTCAGCACCCTCACAGGGAACAATTCCTTCCTGATATCCCATCCATCCCTGCCCTCTGGCAGTGGGAGCCATTCTCTGTGTCCTGTCCCTCCATCCCTTCTCCCCAGTCCCTCTCCAGCTCTCCTGGAGCCCCTTTGGTCCCTGCAAGGGGCTCTGAGCTCTCCCTGGAGCTTCTCCTCTCCAGGGGAGCACCTCCAGCTCTCCCAGCCTGGCTCCAGCCCTTGGAGGATCTCCATGGGCTCCTCTGGACTCTCTCCAGCAGCTCCAGGTCCTCCTGCTGTTGTTCCCCAGGGCTGGGGCAGCTCTGCAGGTGGGGTCTCACCTGAGCAGGGCAGAATCCCCCCTCCCCTGTGGGGACTCAGCCCAGGAGCAGTTGGCTTGTTGGGCTGCAGGAAAGGCAAAGCTTTGTCCTGGCCAAGGTGTTTGGAGGAGGACAATTCCGCTGCTCCTTAGCAGAGGCTGGACACTCATTTCTAAGCACTTGAAATCTCCCAAATCCTCACAGCTGCCTTGCTTTCCTGGCAGAGGGAGAAGAGCAAATGCTTTTCATGCTCCTTATCTCTGGGCCCAGAGCTCTGGTGGCTGAGCTGTGTAATCTCTGTCAAAACAAGAGATTACTGAGCCTTCTCCTGATGTTTCAGTGCCTCTGCCTGGTGGGAATCTTGCTGAGTCTGTCCTTCCTTTCCCTTCCTCTCCTTGCTTCCCCTCCAGTCCAAGTTCAGTGTTATTTTATCACTACTGGGAGTAAAATCCCTGGTAATGTGCTTGTTGTCCTGCTGTGGTCAGGGCTAAACTCTGCACATGGGGCTTCACTGCATTTTCCAGATATTCCAGGCAGCATTTTCCAAACACTGCCAAGCAGCATTTTCTAAATACCCCAGGCAGCATTTACAAGCTGCTGGCTGGATTTTGCAAATTCTCAAGCAAAATGTTGCCTGTCTATAAAAATACATTTCTGAAATTGGATTTTTTTTCCTCTCTGAACAGAAAACCCATCCTGGAATGGATCCCTGTAGGAGAGTGAACCAGCAGTATGATTTATCCCTGGATTTCTGGGGTGGGTGTGTTTTATATAACATCACTTACCTGCTAAAGGGGGTCCTCCCATGGCTGCTATCCCTGCAAAGAAAGCAGCAAACCCCAGGTAGCTGTGGAGCTTTTCCACACCCACAAGATCCACCTGTTTGGAAACCAAAATGGATAATTCGTGAATGGCTTCATAGGAATGCATATGCACAACAGATTAATTGAATTTTTCTTTTTCTTTTTTTTCTTTTTTTTTTTTTTAAAGCACAAGAGATAATTCTTTTTCTGGGGAATTTCCTCTTCAGCTGCAGCTCTGGGAGGACTTTGTCCCTGTAGGTCTGATCTAGCCTGGAACCCGTTTGCCTCCCTAAGGCAGGTGTGGGAATTACTGGGATGGGAGATGCTTCTCTGCCTTCCAGCTGCCCAGATTTGAGGAAGGAGTTTTGAACTCTGAATGCCTTCCAGAAAGAAATGCCAAATTGTAATGGTGCCTCCCCACCTGGATCAGAGAATCCTGGAATGGTTTGGGTTGGAAGGGACCTCAAAGCCCATCCATTGCACCCCTGCCATAGAGAGGGAATTTCCACTGTCCCAGGCTGCTCCAAGTCCCATCCAGCCTGGCCTTGGGCACTGCCAGGGATCCAGGGGCAGCCACAGCTGCTCTGGGCACCTGTGCCAGGTCTGCCCACACTCACAGGGAACAATTCCTTCCCAATCTCCCATCCATCCCTGCCCTCTGGCAGTGGGAGCCATTCCCTGTGTCCTGTCCCTCCATCCCTTGTCCCCAGTCCTTCTCCAGATCTCCTGGAGCCCCTCTGGGACCTGCAAAAATTCTGAGGGGATCTCCTGGAACCCTTTTAAGGCTCTGCAAGGGGTTTTGAAGGGATCTCCTGGATCCTCTTTAGGCTCTTAAAAAAACTCTGAGGGGATCTCCTGGATCTCCTTTAGGTACCTAAAGGGGCTCTGAGAGGATCTCTTGGAATTCTGCAAGGGGCTCTGAGGGGATCTTCTGAAGCCCCTTTAGGCTCTGCAAAAATTCTGAGGGGATCTCCTGGATCTCCTTTAGGCTCTACAAAAACTCTGAGGGGATCTCCTGGAATCCTTTAGGCTCTGGAAGGAGCTCTGAGGGGATCTCCTGGAATCCTTTAGGCTCTGGA